TCACTGTCTGGCTTATCTCCAGCTCTGACATTGGGGACCTGGCACTCATCTGCCCCCAGCCAGGCCCACCTAAGCAGCACTTGATCCCGGTCTCCTGCTTGCTTTTGGTAGGCATCGTGGGCTCTAACTGGAGAGATTTTTCTTATATGGACAACCCACTTGTGTATCCAGTGTGCCCTTCCCAGGCCCCTCCCCAGGGCCAGCACTGCCCCAGGCATGGGCACACAGGAGGAAGAGGCCACTGTGGCCTGTGCCCTCCTAGCCTACTCCTATGTGGGGTAGGGTGTGAGAAGCCAGGTGTGGGAAAACAGGAAGCCATCTGGGACTGGGGAGTATCATGACCATTTCATTGTCCTTCCTTCACAGATCCCCTATCATGAGATTGAGGTGCTCAAGTCCAGACAAGAATTGGTGGAGTATCTACAAAGCAAGCTCTTTCCTCAAAACTCCACTGTTCATTGGTAACAAGGAAGAACAATGGCTTTATGCCTCAGATAGTGAAAGGACTTATTTTTAAGAGACATAGTTTAAGAGGATAATTTGTGAATTAACCATTTTGCAGAATTATGTTTATAGACTGGTGCTCTGAGAAGGCTCAGAGGTTTTCCTGATACCATGTATAATTTTATGGGTGGTAAACTTAAAATTAATTTATTACTAGTGTCATAGGAATTTTTATACCTCAAACAGAATTGATCAAGTACAATAAAGGAATATAATGAATACTTGTTATTTTGAATCTCCTATTTGTAATAGTTCTGTTAAATGAAAACATTGTCTTTAGAGTCCTTCATTTTCTAACAAATGTAAAGAAGGAATTATATCTCCCACTTTTATGTTTTTGTCAGTGAATTGATACATGATAAGGAGAAGGGAAAATGGGAAATGGACAAAGCCAGAAAGGGTGCTCCCCAGAAAGGCCTTCCTCTTCCCCGTGGGCCCTCTGGGGAACACCCTTTCTGGCTTCCTCTGGCTTCTGGTGGCTCGAGGTGTGCCCTGGTTGATGGCAGCAGAGCTGACCTGCTCTGTCTTCACATGGCTGTCTTCCATTGTGTCTGTGTGTTACGATGCTGCTCACACGTGGCCCTTGTCCACATGTCTGTGCACATCATTCCCCCTGTATGGCCACATGCATGTTTTCCTCTTAGAAGGATCCAGCCGTGTTGGATTAAGACACCCTAATGAGTTCATCTTGACTTTATTAAGTCTTTACAACCCAACGTCAAGTAAGGTCACATTCACACATACGAGGGGACACACCTGAACCAAGGATTAAACTAGTGAACACGTAAAGCGTGCTTACGAGATGCCTGCAGAGTGAGCCTGCACAGCACTAGCCAGCAGTGTCTCAGTTTCCACCCTTCCCTCTGGGCCCTTCACTCCAGCTTGGGTTCTCTTTCTGCAGAATAGCAAATGGAGACCAGGTGAGCTCTCAGCTCCCTGGTACAAGTATGCCATGGTTGCAGAGAGGGGCCTCAGATTCTGAGGAGTTGTCTTTCCAGATGACCTTGACAGTCTCAGAGTCTGACAAGACCAGAGCAGTTAGCTGACTTGAACTTTTTCACAGCAGTTAGACTTCCTGAAACCAGTGTTCTTGACAGGGGGCCCAAGGTCTGCTCAGGATCAGATCAGATCTTGGAACCCCTTTCACAATTCCTTCCTGCTGATATCCAGACTGGTGCCAGTTTTGTCTCGTGAGTGCTCTGGTTCCCTACCAGCCAGCCAGGGTCACCCTGGTCAGCTCATCCCTGAACCGTAGTGGAGGTTAACAGCTCACAGTTGAAAGAGGGAAAGAGACTGACCCACAAACATGTAGTGCTAATCTGTTAGAAATACTGTGAAGAAAGAAAGCTGCCTGGAGCATTCGTACCTGCTGTCATCTCAGTCCTGATCCTTGGTGACCTCTTCTCCTGGTCGCCTTCATCTGAATCAGATGCTCTTCCCACTGCAGTTTTGTCACCACCTGATCTGGACTTTGTCTCCTGTGGTCTCCCCTGCCCACCCCATGTACTCATAACTCTGACACTAGACTTTGGAGCTCCAGGGCAGGAAGCAGCCCCTGCTACAGGGCTGGGGGTTGGGTGACGTAAACAGGTAGGGCAGGTGATGAGCGTGCCGAGCCCACCGGCACCCCAGGAGCTCGCATGAGACTGGGCTGGGAATGAGGCCACTTGGAGCTATTTGTAGCTGGATTTTAAAAGAAAGAAAGGAGGGTCTGTGGGCACAATGTCCACGTCTGTAATGATCCACACAAAGCCAAAGGGGACATCCCAAGAAAGGGGATAGGCCTAATTCTGGCTGTTCAAAAAGAAAACAAAAAACTTCCTGAAAATGTGCATGTGTTTATGGAAGTGATTTAGGCTGTAGACACAGGGTTGGTGGTGTCACAGGTAGCAGTGAACTTGGCAAGCTCTGTCAGAAAGCCAAATCCTTATAAATTGAATTTTCATGACTCTGAATTTTAATGTTTATCTGTGCAAGCAAAAGTGGAGTGAACATGCATACTCATACTGATAGCTTTCTGTACTGTGTATTTGACAGTTTTGAATAAGGCATGATCTTGCTCTGTTAGCTTTCAAAAGTAAAGCAAATAAAAATAGGTTAAAAAAAAAACAAAACTTTTGCAAGCATAAACCCTTGAAGCAGCAAAGCAGTACTGATATCCCCTCCTCCTGACGCTAGGGGGCAGAAAAGTTTATAACATCAGTTGGGCTGCAGCATTTTAAATACTTATTCCTGGAGGAGAGAGTGGGTCCTGTGTGTGTGTGTGTGTGTGTGTGTGTAAGAGAGAAATTGGGTGTGTGGGGGGGTTGCATGGTGGCAGTTCTGCATGAACAAAACAGGCCATTTTCCTTACCTTCCTCTTGGCATGAACCAGGCCTAGACAGGAGAGCACAAACACTGCCCTGGTATGAAGAGATGCCTATCGTGGGGTCAGGGAGAACCTTGAAGACAAGTATCCTCCCAAATCTTGGATCATTTGAGGGCATGTGGATACTTGGTAAATATTTTTCAGATAGAAGAGAAACTACCAGGAAGCAGAATTCATTACATTTGAGTGAATTCCCTCTGAAAAAGCTACACGTGCTGGATGATGTGCAAATCCAGCTTGGCTTCTTGGCAGTGAACTAGGCAAATCAGCCTCTGAAGGTGCTATTCCCCAAACTGGAAATGCATCCAAATCTGTTAGGAGTCTGGATACCTCATGTAGGGGGATAGCTTGAGATACCTTGAAAGCTGTTTGGCCAAGTGCCTGGGCAGTGGCCAGTGCTCAGTAGATATTGGGTGCTATTGATGAATGGGTTCTCAGTTACACAGCCGGGGGACAGGCATGCACGTCAGAACTGGGCTGCAGGCAGGAACAGGACTTGCTGCTCAGTACATCCAGGGGTTCCCCTGCGGCCTGTAACAAGTTTTTGTGGTTAGCAAAACCTGTGCTGTTTGAAATCAGATCAACAAAATGTGGGGTCCTGCTACTGTCTGCAGGATCTGAGCCACCTGGGACATTTTGACATACAGAAGTTTTCTCCATATCCGACCAGATTGCTGATTTAGAAATTTAGGACAGAACGTTTCTCTTTGTAGCTTTGAGGATCCTGAATCTGATGTTCTGGCCACGCTTGGTGTTAAAGGACATGCAAATCCCCTGTGCTTGAATCTCTCCAGTCCAGCTTCACTGCATGGTACCCTTCCCCTGATCCTATAAGAAACCTCTGTCCTTTTGTTTGGCTATGGGTGCCTCTTGGTTCCTCTGGTATGCAGCTTCCCATGCTGCTCCAGTGAGAAAACCTAACTTTATTTTGATGCTCTCTGGCTGTTGAGCTCCATCAAAAGACATTGTGCTTTTATGTACTTTTTATCCCATCTCAGAAAAAAAACATTTCTCTCCCGGATGACTCCCACGGTCTCTGGCATATAATTCACACTATTTGTGGGTTGAACTGATATTTTGGGATCTGATGTTTGCATGAAACAATATCTCCTAATAACCCTACTGTTTTTAACTTTTATTATGGAAAAATTTGATCACAGAAGAGTTGAAAGAATTGTATAATGGATCCACACGAGTCCTTCTATTTGGCATGAAAATTACCATAATTTTCCAGTCATGTTTCATCTGTTCTTTCCCTTTCTCTCCCCCCACCCCGTCTCCCCCCACTTTTTTTTTTTTTACTGGAATGTGTCTAGAGAAATTCAAACTATCATATTTTATCTAAATACTTCAATATGCACTTAAAACCAATAAATGTTTTTCTTGTATTTCATACTTCCATTATTGCAACTGGTAAAATTAATAATTGCTCCCTGCCATTTAATATCTGGACTGTATTTTAGGCTTCCTACAGTGGCTTAATATATTACATCATGGTTACTTCCTACAGTGGCTCAAAAATAATTCATTTATTTGTCGAGTCAGAATCCAAAGAGTGCACGTTACCTTTGGCTATGGTCTGTTACACCATATAAGGCTCTGATATCGATAACTGCCCCACCCTAGCCTGGTCCTCATGTCATTAACTTGTGGGAAGAATTAGAGCTGCCTTGTAGGATGGCCCACATTGTTGTTTGACTGTTCCCTTCTTCCTCTACCTGCCTTGTTTCCTGTTGAGTTGAAAGCTATATCCAGAAGCTTGCTTGAATTCACTTTGAATTTCTTGAGCCACAAGGCATCACAGGCATGCTGTGAATTTACTCTGTGATGGAATCTGACATCTGGTTGTCCCCTCTTGGTGATACAGACTGATGAGCGAGTTCCTATATCATGGGCCTCATCTGACACCATGGGTTACATATCAATCTTTCCCCTAATGAGTTTGGCATCTGTGTGGCTGAATCCATCATTTCACTAGTTCTGATTCCTTCTACTTTTAACTATCTTGTGTTTATTTATAAAGAAGAAATAGCTCCCATCAAGCATTTGTGTACTCTGAATAAGGATTATAGACAAGAAACAAATGCTTTGATCCTGTATCAATTTTTAGAATAAATGGCTAGAAGTCTAGCTGTTTTTTATTTTAGAATGTTTTCATGAACTTCTACATGATTGATGTGCTTCAGGCCTTTGCACATCTCGTTTTGATGCTTAAATTATCCATTTGGACCAGTGGGGTACCCTTCTGGTTGGCCTTTGTCCTTTTGACCTTGTCATATTTTTTGTTATGGTTTTTGAAATTTTCTTTGTAAAATAGAATGTTCATGGATTTTCTTACCCTTTTCCTGTCTCAGGCCCAGGATTAAGCCTCTTCTCAGGGACCCTGTTCCCTGCAGGGTGGAGGGTGGTTCGCTCATTGCTACAGTCATCAATGTTTTTATTTTCATTTTAGGTGTCACAAAAAAAAAATCACATTTTTATTTAAAAAGTAACAAGGTAATCAAACCAAAATTAAGTTTTCATTAAAAGTCTCAGTTCATAAGTTTAATGCTTAAAATTGCTGTGGGCACACCCTCCTTCAGTTGAGTGGTCAGCCTACTGGAAACAGAGAAGCATGTTCTGCAAATCTACTCACAGTGTTTATGTTTCTTTATCAGGGAAGAGACATCAAGGGAGGCAAAGGTCTGCTCAGCCCCACCACTGACCACTGCCCATGTCCGTGATCCAGTTATGGTTTTGAAAGATCGACAGTGGCTTTCTGTCATGTTGCTGTCCTCATTGTTCCACAGCACTGGTGGATTTCAAACTAGTACCAGCAAGTTACCCTCAACTTCATAACACCCTTTCAATTTCCTGGGATGAATGACTAAGCCATCTTCCTCCTAGCTACTCCAGAGATGAGTGTTTCAAGGTCCATCTAACTTACTCAGAATCATGGTAAAAGATACCAAGTGCAGAGAAGTACTTCTTCAATTCATTTTAAGAAATGTCAGAGTCTGTGAATTGAAGTTCAGTTATGCTGGGCCACTTAAACAAGTTTACAGTGCAATCCTAAAACAATAATCAAAGATGCTTTAAATTTAAAATGTAGACATTAAGCTTGTTTAAAAACCTCTGCATGTCCAACAGAAGATGTTTGGAAGAGAAGAGTTTTTATACTACAGTTGTAGGCTGCTTTCCCTCTCCTCCTCAGTCAACTGGTTTTCAAGGTAGAATGAGGAGGCTGCTCTGCCTGACAGCTGTGAATCAGGGTCTAGAGCATCATGCCATTAAGGCCATGGCCTGCCTCAGAGTGGCCTGAGAGCCCTAAAGAGAAAGCATCTTTCCCTGGCCAGCCTCTCGCTCTACATGTACTTTGTATTTCTTTCAGAGAAGCAGCCCCTGGCCAAGTGGCCTGAGTCCAGTCACTTAGTCTCCCCCACATCTCAGTCTTCTCAATGGCATAATGAACTTGATGGGTCTTCTCAGCTTCAAAAGTCAGAGTTTATGAAGACTCAGGATGAATAGCAATATGTGCCATGCAAGATGTACCTAGATCACACCTAAAATGTCATGTCAGCTACCACCTTTGGTTTCTCTTCCTCTGCCTCAGATTAACAGAAAAGGTGCATCTAACCAAGTGTCCTAAAAGCTTCCATTTTGCTCAAATGTCCAAAGAAAGTGCACAGGCATTCAGCTGCAGTATGGACTCCCACCTTCTGAATTCCTGCAAACTGCCCATCTCCCTAAGCTCATGATGCACCTGCAAAGTACTGGCTCACACCTCCCATAGGGAGAGAGATGCAAGCAGCAGCAGTGCTGGTAGATCAGTATCACAGTGCTGCATTAGTGAGCACTTGGTCCACCTAGGGCAGAGCAGTGAGAAAGAAGACAGAAGGTCAGCCCTGAGCAAGCTGAGTAAGGGAAATCAGGCCTAGCTCTCTGAGTGCAAAGTCCACGGGATTGGCATGACATCTAGATGCTGCACATCTCATAGTGCTGTGGTGGGCATCTGAAACACTCAGGCTCATCTGATCTCTGCAAGCTCCCTCATACCCACTTTGTCCTTATCCTGTTGATTTGCCTCCTTTCAAAGGAGGATTTGCATGTTTCTTCTGTCCTTCCTTTTCCTGGCATATAATTTTGAAAGTAAGTTACAGACATGAGAGACTTAAACTCATTTTTTTAACTTTTTACTCCACTAATGTACCTGAAATACATATGATAACGTGGGGAAAGATATTTGTAAAAGAATTAAAATATTTTAATACTCAAAACTACCAAAATTTGTTTCACCTATTGTTTGATGCAAGTCTGGTACCCTGCCCTTCATCCTCTCAGTGCTGCTGGACCACTCCATGGTGCGGTGACACATCCTGCAGCATCTCACCTCAACTAGATGCCCTGTGCCTTTCTCTGTCAGCCCCAGAGCTTCTCTGACACCAAGGAGATGGAAGCACAGGGCAGAGGTCAAGTTTGGGAGTAAACAAGAGATAAGTCTCACCCAAGGAGAATGAGCAAGAGATAAAACACACATCCACGTTGATGCAGAAAATACCCTGGTGTTTTCTAGGCTCCTCAGAAAGGTCTGGACCGAGTTGAGCACCACTTTCCCTCAATAGTGATCTGGTTGAGGCATCTGGACATGAATTCTCCTGCTTCTCATTCCTCTTGGTTCCTCACTCTTGCTCCCTGGAGTCACCTGTCAAATAAACCCAGAGCATCCAAACCCTTGTTTAGTCTCATCTTTTAGAAGAAACTCAATCTATAGTAACTGTGCATATTTGTCCCCAAACACTTGCTGACTACCTACTGAATGCTGGAGTTGAGCCACCCAGGAAGAAAGGGCTCCCTGAGCTCTCAATTGCCCCCAAGAGCTCTCAATCTAGGACACAATGACCGAGAGGCTTGGTGTGGCCAAACATTAGTCAAGACTTCTGAACCTTCTCCTTTGCCCATCTGTGCACTTCCTTGTGAAATTAAGTTTCAGCAAAAGAACCCTGCTAAGTCAGCTTAGCCAGAATCCTCTTCCTTTATATCTGATCAGATTCCTCATCCTTCAGAGGAGGCCTGATCTCCCTGGCCCATCTGTAGCAAGAATCCTGTTAGTTCTGTCCTGTCAGAATCCACCTGCCCCTAATGTTTGCTCTTAGTTACTTCTCACCCTCGGATCCCAACCCTGCTCATTGGCTATAAACTCCCACTTGCCTGAACTGTATTGGGAGTTGTCTGGATGTCTCTCCTCCACTCAAATCCCTACTGGGGTCCCTATATATAAGTGATGGTGCTGAGTAAATCATTCCTGACTATGCTTTAGCAAGTATCATTGAGTAATTTTTCCTTTCATAATAACAAAATGACACCTGCTTAAATTGAAGCTAACAGATGCACATCTATATGGCGGTGTAAAAGGACTTTGCAATTAAATGATTTCAGTCTCAATTTTGGCTGAGTTCCCAAGGTAATTGGTGTCAACTACTTGCACTTTACAAAGATTGACACCAGATCATCTATGCAAAGCTTGCAAAGTCTATGACCCTCAGTAGACCTCTCATGTCCCATCTTTGGAAAGGTTGAAAGAGGTCAGAGACATCAAAAGGGGCAGACTAGAAGTTTTTTTCTTTCTTTCTGATTTTCATGAGGCTAGAAAATCATGAGTCATGCTCCCATGACTTCTGCCATGGGAGAAAGATGACAGCCCCCATCTCCTTCACTTCACAATAAAGAGAAGTGATCTATCTCTGAACACCAGGGAGATGTCCACCTCTCCTGGGGTCCCAATGAGGCTGATATGTCTCCCTGGGGCTTGGGAACACTGTGAGAGAGTGTCTGATCTTTGACTAGTGTGTTCTGCCAGTGGAGCAAACAGACGTGTTATGAGGACAAAGAAAGCAATGTGACCCCATGGACATGAGAGTAATATCCTACCCAGGTGTATTCTACAGAGAAGTACCACAAAGTGCCTGGCTGGGCAAAGGGGCATCTTAAGCCACCAGCCTGCATCAAGAATTGCAAACTAGATTCCTGCCAGTGGAAGAGAAGACAGGACACTGCTCCTTCCTCTGTCCCACAGACCTCTCAATCGGACTCCTGCCCCTCTGTTCATCGGCCAGTCTCCTACTCCTGCAGGAAGCACCACCACCCTCAATGCATCCTTCACCACATCACCAAGGGCTCAGCCACAGGTGCCACACTGCCCTTCCATCTCCTTGAAAGCACTTTCCAGACTCTCCTAGGCTTGCTCCTCAGGCAGCATCCCTAAGCCAGCCTTTGTGGCTCTGGTTAGAGTGTGCCTCTCAATTACCGGTCAGCATGTTACCTTTTTTTTTATAACCTATCACCACGTCCAGCCCCGTGACCCCCCCGACCCCCATTACACACACAAATCATAAGTTCACAGCTCAGTACATTTCAAGCCAATATAATCAGGTTGGCAGAGTCTCTAGAACGCGCCCACAGAGCAGCTGAGTTTGCCTGATTCTGAATTACACTGATTTAATTCACGGGTAGTTTACACCACCACTGACCAATGCTGTAACTACTAGACACGTGTTGCTATTTAGCACTTGAAACGTGGCTAGTGCCACCAGCTGAAACAATGTTTGGACAAACTGAGTTAAATAGGGCAGTTAATATTACTGGTGTCTTGACACCCTTTTCAATGTGGTTATTTAGCAAATGTGGAATTACACTCGTGGCTCTGTTTCTGCTGGACCTTGGCGCCCTAGACCCTCTGCTAGCCGTCTTCACCTTTCTTCTCTGTCTGCACCACTGGAGCTTAGCTCCCCAGGAGCAGGGGCTGCTTGTTTCCAGGCCTACCTCCAGCTCTGGGGGCACTATGGTGCTGGGTTATTAACTGCCACAGGAGTGACCTGAGAGTAAAGCAACCAATAGCGCGCGAGGAAGGATAGGGTGGGCGTGGGCAGCCCCGGCAGCGACCCTTGGCCCCGCAGCTGGCCCCTTCCCTGGTGTGGCCAGCGCACGAGGCGCCCCGCCCCCACCCGCTCGCGGTCCCTAGGGCCTGGTTGCCAAGATCGGGTTTCCAGGCAACGGACTAACGCGGGCGCTGGGCAACCTGGCCCCAGGACTTGGACTGTGCCCCTGGGCGGGCGGGACGCACCGAGGCTACGAAGGGAACGATGGATGGGAGCGACGAGGAGGACGAGGAGATCACCGCCGCCACGCTGCGGGGCGAGCCCCGGCCGCCGCCAATCTCCGCGCTGTCCTCCTTCAGCTACGTCCCGCCGAGGCGCCAGGACCCTAAGGAGTACAGCTACTAC